GGCTAATTCTAAAATTCTATATGGAAAACCAAAGGACTCAGAACAGTTAAAACAACTCTGAAAAATGAACATAGTTGAAAAAGTTCACATTACCTGGTTTAAAGACTTCCTGTAGTGCTATGGTATGTGTGGTACTGGCAAAATGACAGCCATAGAGGCTGGCCAGTTAGCACAGTTGGTTAGAGCACAGCCTTGTAACAAAGGTCAAGGGTTCAGATCCCTCTACCGGCCAGCTGCCAAAAATAAAAATAAAAATAAAAATACATAATAAAAATGTGAAGAGCCACAAAATATGATTACATTGTGTAATGTTGAAAATGACAGCCGTAGATCTATGTAACAGAAAAGGGTGTCCAGAAACAGCCACTCAATTTGGTAAGTTGATTTTCAACAAAGATGTCAAGGTAATTCAAAGAAGAAAGGATAACCTTCTCAACAAATGCTGGAACAATTGAACATCCATATGACAAAAAGATGAACCTCAACTCATGTTTTGCACCATATGTAAAAATTAACTCATGATGGGTCACAGACCTAAATGTAAAACCTAAAACGATAGAACTTTTAGAAGACAACAAAAAAAGGGCAATGACTTCCTACAAAGCAAATAAAAAGTACCATTCATAAAAGAAAAAATTTAAAATTCTGTTCTTTTATAGATACTGTTAAGAGAAAGCACAAGAGAAACCACAGCTGGGAGAAAATATTTGCAGTATACATATCTGATAAAGAACTTATATCTAGAATTTATTATAAAGAACTCTCAAAGCTGAACAAGAAAACAATTCATTTTTAAAAATGGGCAAAACACTTGAACAGACACTTCGCCAAATAAGAGATACAGTTAGCAAATGAATATACGAAAAAATGTTCTACAACATTACACAATGGAGAAATGCAAATAAAAATCACAATAACATACCACTACATACAACAACAACAACAAAACAAAACCTGACAATACCAAATACTACCGAGGATGCAAAGCATTGCTGGTGAGAATAGAAAATGGTGTAAACACATTGCAAAACAGTTTGGCAATTTCTTATAAAGTCAAAACATAAATTTACCACATGGCCCAGCAAAGCCAAACTTAGATATTATTAACTCAAGAGAAATGAAAAGATTGCCACCCAAAAACCTGTATGTGAATGTTTTTAGACACTTTATTCATAAGAGCCAAAATCTGAAAATAACTCAAATATTCATTAACTGGTGAATGCATAAACAAATTGTACTAGATCCAAATAGTGGACAAACTATGAATGCACCTAACAATAAGGATAAATCTTAAAATCATTGTGTTAAGTAAAAAAAGCCAGACACGAAAGGCAACGTACTGTATACTTCTAGTTATATGACATCTGGGAAAGCAAAAAGTATAGAAAGAGAAAACAATTTTAAAGAAATTAAAAAGCAAAAGCAATTTTTAGAAGTAATTGTGAATATCTATACAGTACTTTATTATGATGGTCCTCACAGTACTCTATGGAGTACATATTAGTTTTACATCCATACATTACAATTAAAAGAATGGAGGTTCAGAGATTGCCCAATTTACTCAAGTTAACACAGTCAGTGAGTGCACGAGCTGACATCTGAAGCTTGGTGTCTTGCTTCAAATTTCATGTTTTTTCTCCCTGCTACACTAATCACTCAATTACTTGTTATCCTTAACTTTCATAATACTTGGCTCAGGTCTCTGCTAGATGAGTTATAAAGTGACTTTTGTAACATATAATTTAGATTATAAATGAGGAATGGAAAGTCTTATTAATTTTTTATGTTTACATTGTTTAACATAGTGTTTGGAACACAGTTGACATTCAACTATTTGTGAATGAATAAATAATTATTTGTATTTCTTGACAGGTGTAGCACAGAATCAAAAAATAGCACATGTTCCAAAGGTAACATATGAAACTGGGGACAGACCCTGTATTAGTCCATTTTGTGTTGCTATAACAGAATACCTGGAAGTGGGTGATTTATAAAGAAGAGTGAAATTTATTGCTTATAGTTTCTGAGGCTAGGAAATCCAAAGTTCATCTGGTGGTGGCGACAGTTACCCAGGGGTCTCACACTGCAAGGTGGTGGAAGCAGAGACAGCAGAGAGAGAGCCAGACAGACTTTCCTTTTCTTTTAAAGCCCTCAGAACCATGCTCCTGACCACCATATTTGATACATTCACTATGGCATGGTCCTACAATCCAATCACCTCTTCAAGACTCCACCGTTCAATTACCATAATAGTATTTCTCTCCCTTTTACAGTCACAGTGGGGGCTAAGTTTCTAGTACATAAAACTTGGGGGACACAATTCAAGCTTCAGTGAGCTTTAGGGGGACACAATTAATCGACTACAGACCCCAGTCTCCCCTAGCTATTCCCCTGACAGCAGTCAGAGCAGGGTTTGACTGGGGGTGGGAGGATGAGGAATAGCTAAAGAAAATCTGCTTGACCAAGCAGAATAGGCTGGAATCCTAAAAGTAGTAAATATGACATAAGAGTAGAATTGATTAAACATAAATGTCCTTAGGCTAAGACTTGATCTAGAGGTCAGAATGTTTGTTCCTTAACTGAATATGTTATGGCTTAAGATAACATCTGTAAAGCCAATCTTGAGTTATTTCTGCAGACCACCTACAACTACGAACCTGCTTTGAAGTATACACACTCTGGACTCTAAGTTGCCATGGAAAATATCAATCAACATGCCAGGAATAGTTATGCTGACTTCACCCAGAACCAATTCGCTTCCCACATGACTCCCGAGACCCCCATTCATTATTCTGTTCTATAAATGCTTGTGATTCTAAGCTATGGGGAATTCAGGATCTTAAAGCTCTTTTAGCTACCATGGGCTCCTCTGAATGTCCATCCCAATAAAGGCTAATCTTTAACACTGCAGTCTTTGGCAGGAGAGATGACTTAGTCATTTGGGTGGAAGATGAGGAACCCTCTCGGTTTGCAACACTTATTTCACTTCAGAAAACATTACTTCATTCGCACTACAAGTAGAGTGTGTCTAAGAAGGTATGGACCTGGGAGTCAGAATTTCAGATGCATGATACTTACCTAAGCCTCAGTATCTATATCTGGAAAAAGGCCATATTTACCTCTCTTTTTTCACAATTGTGAGGATCGATGAGAAAATGAATTTGAAAAGTCCTTTGCAAATGGTAAGGCAGCACATAATTATTGTTATATTCAAATATTATTGTCATCCATATAAGGCTGTTTAAAATGACAGAAAACACTTCTTTTCTCAAAATGTTTATATGGAAAAAGATTTTTAAATCTCTTTCCTTTTATTAATGGTGATTAATGTTTTAGAGCAATGTATGTTTTACAACAAAACCCAGAAGACTCAGGAGTTGTATACTCTATAATGCTTTTAGAGTGCAATGCAGTTCACAAACTGTTAGTTCTGCAGGTGGAGAGACAGACGACAACGATAAATAGAAAACGCACAAGAAAAAAAGCATAGCCTTTTAAATAGATGTTTAGAAGTGCTATTGCTAATATTTGGCATTTATATTGAAACAGGACCAATAGGTTTTGTTTTTTGTTTTCAAAGCCAATTCACCACTTCGTCTCAGAAATCATCCCTTTGACGAGGAGTTAATATGAAAAAATGGTTTTAAGCTGTAATATTCAGGACAAACATAAATAATATATCTTCCTATACTCAAATATTACTCAGCAAAGGCATCATTTACAAAGAAGAATTAAGTGGTTTGAATTCATTAAATGAAGATTACTTTAGGCCTTCCTCGAATATGCTCATATTTTCAAGAATTTTCAATAATTACTTGTGTATTTCAAAACGTAGTAATAGGAAAAAGTAGTGAACATGGTTGATTATAATTTCTAATTTTGCAAGAAGAATGTCAGGGTCACATTTGGTTGAGTTTTTTACACTGTGTTCCTTGTACAACATCAGATAAAGTCAACAAATATCTCTACAAAAACTTATTGCTTAATTCCTTTGATAATTTTATCTTGTGTGTCCAATAAGGTAAGGCAGTTAAGCATCCCTTAAATAAAATTAGGATTTAACTGTGATTCACAAGGACAAAACCATTAAGGCTGCAATTTAAGCCTCTAAAAGGCTGTAATATGCATGTGTTCCACTTAAAATCTATAAAATTTCAGTAAATACGTTAACTTGGGATGAGAATTCTGACTTTTGAATTATTCTATTTGAATCTCTGAAAAATGGACCAGCACAATTTTACGTAGCGTCAAAGAATGGTAAATCTAAATATACCAGACACTTCTGTATGATCTGCTACACTTCAGCGTACAAATTCGTTTAATAAATAATGCCCTCATCTCCCTCTGCATATACGTGAAGCCACAGGAAATAAACGAATTCCCATTTCGAAAATTATCTCTCTACTTTAGTTCAGAGATGCCCATTTAAGGAAAATCCAGAGATAAAACTACGTGACAAGATTCCCTTTTTAGCTCACGTATCTTCTCGCCACAGGAGATTTTAATTTGAGGCGAAATTTCAGATTAAATAACTATGACAGGTAACGGGGAGAATTCTTCGACGACATTTAAGTGCCGCACTCGACTTTTGGACTCATTCAAGCCCTCGGAACCTAGGACGCTACTTCAATTGTGAGGAAACATTTTCTAAGCGTTTCGGAAGCTCGTTAACTGCTTCTTAAGGGCAAGGTCCAGCTAAACTGAGCATAAGCAGGAAAATGACCATTAAGTAACTCAATTACACCCCGTAGACACCTGCCCAAGCCCAACAACAGCCCTCGCCACTCTTCTCCTTAACTAGCGCCAGGCGTCGCAACACCCGAGGCCCTCCCTCCCCAAGGGCGCCTGCGCAAAATCTCCACACAATCAAACCCTCCCTTAGGCCAGTCAAAGCGAATAGTTTTGAAATTGTCAGGTTATGCCTCACTTTAAAAAACAGTAGGTATGACAAAGCACACCAGAGCGATCACTCACCGAGGCGGTCCTAAATGCAAACCAGGATTTAAGCGTCCTCCCGCGACTTATCTGGCGCCGCCGGAAGCGGAACTACCCGAGTCGTTAAGAGGGGAGTCCTTAGCTGGGACGTGGAGTTCTTGTGCGGGCCGTGGAACTTCGGTCAGGAAAGGTTAGGGCGGATCGTTTGGCTCTTTCCGGAAATCGTTCCGCCCGGCGAGGTTTCTGTGTGAGGCCTAAGGCGGGCTGAAAAGGGGCGTGACTGAGATTCTTGAAGTGTAGTAGTGCCTGAGGTACCTCCATGTGTCCCTTCAGCTGCTATTGAAGGGAGAAGACCCACATCCACGCGTCCACCTGGAGTCTCTTAACGAATACCTCACCCTGCCCCCGGGATTAATGGGGGAAACCAAGACCTGAAGGGGCTCGGCCATCTCCACCAGATCTCACTGCAGCCGTGGCAGGTGAGGGCCGCGAGACCGAAGGAGAACCCGAGATGCGGAACCTGATCGCCTGAAGGTTGAGGTCGCTGCTAGGCAGTTGCTTTGTCTCCTGTTGTGCCCTGGGCATCCTAAACAAGCGCTACTCCGAGGGGCATGTGGCGGAGCGAATGACAACGTGGGCGTGGTGGAGCGACTGTACACCTCTGAGGCTTCTTTCGCGCCTTCATTTCTCCTCCTCCTCCCCCATTGCTTCCCTCTTTTGTTTCTTGGGTTTGAGACGTCAGAAATTGCAGCTCAGCTAGAAGGGAGGTGCCCAGTTTCTAGCCCGTGCTGCGTCTCGCTCCACCAAAGTAGGAAGCCTCGAGTTTGGGGACTGCTGTGGGAGGTGGTGGCTATTTTAATTTTCACTCCGTAGTCTTCATCGCTCTGCTTCTCGTCGCCTCCACACCCACTTTAAAAGAACAAAAGCCTTCTGTGTTGCAGCTTTCTACAATACGGACGGAGGCTGCAGGTCACTGCCGCACCTCATCGGTTGGACGTTCTTGCATCCTCAAGCACTTTCAGGGAGAAAGGGTGAGGGTGGTGACCATTGGATTTTACTCACGAGCTTCTCGACGACTCCTGGGAGTTTACGACTCTCGGAATTCTGTGGCAATAGTTGTCTTGCTGTAGCTTGCTGGAAGGTTTAGTTGGGGAAATAGGAAGTATGGCTGACCTAGCACCTAGCATCCTCGCTCTACGCTGGGACGGGATTTTGTTTTGCTATTCTATATTCTTCAATTAAATATAGGGTTTTTGTTTCAGGTAGATAAAATAATGGCGATAGTTACCACTAAGTGAGTCCTTACTTATGTTACGTGCTTTACATATTTTTCTCATTCAGTCTCTCAACACTCCCATGAGGTGTATTAGATTATTATTCCCATTTTACAAAGGTAGAAATTGAGGCTTGGAGAAATCAAGTAACTCACACTAGTAAACTTTTGCTGCAAGTAAACGTTTGGATCTGTATGAGAAACCAGATCTGTCCAACTGCAAAATCTGTATTGTACTGTCCTACTGTTATTCCTAAATTACAATTTCTTCACCAACTTTTTTTTTTTCTTCTTTTGTGGCTGGTCGGTATTCACTAACATTTTCAGTAGCTGAAAGCATTCATTCATTTTTTTAAAAAGTGGGTGTGCCTATTTAGGTGTCTGACAGAAGATAGACATGATCTCTGTTTTTATGGAGGCTTCAATGTTGTGATGCAGATTTAAGAAGTTCAGAACCCCAAATGCTATACTTCTGCAAGGCTTATTTAAAGCAAGTGATTAAACTGATGTGGAGAAGGTTCACAGTTGTATAATCAAAACTTGTTTAAGTTTTAAACTCATATGACTTGCACGGTAGTTGCTGTGGGAGTATTAAACTGAAGAATTGGTAGAACATTTATTGATCACCCAAATAAGTGTTATGCAGCAAGATAAATACCGTGAATACATAGATGAGGTCCTTGTTCTTCAAAAACTCCCACGCAACCACACATAGATAATTTTATGGAACTATTAGTTTTCTTAGGTGGAAACGGTAGTGTGGTTATGTAGGAAGATATTTTTATTTTTAGGAGTTACATACTAAGGTATTTAGAGATGAAGTGTTTGATGCCTATGGCTTTCAAATGGTACAACAAATATATATGTACGTGTGACTGTATAAATAGAAGAAAGTAAATATGGCAAAGTGTTGGCAATTGTTGAGTCTAATGGTGGATATATAGGTGTTTAGTCAACTTTCTGAATATTTGAAATTTTTCATAATAAGAAATTGTGGAAGAAAAAACCCAACTCTAATGGAAACAAATAATTGTAAAGATAAATCTAAACTACTGTGGTGTATAGAGGATGAGAGAGGGTTTTGATGTGTATTTGGAGCCCAGCAGAGGCAGGATTGTTGTCAGGAAAGCATTTCTTGAGAAACATCCTGTAGGATATTGAAGGAGTATAGGAACTTCTAAGGACAGCTGTGAATTCCAGGTGGAAGGAAATACAAGATCAGCAAATGTATTGGATGAATATTTGAAGAAGGTGAAAAATCAATATGAAGATTGCATGGAATGGGCTTTTTCTGTATAAATAATCTTGTAAATGATGCTAGGTTACCAGTCTGCAGAAACCTACTAACCATTAGTGCCCTGGAACTGAGTCACTATTTATAATGTTTCCACTGGAAAATGCTTTTGAGATTTCAGGAAAACTGATTATGTCTGTGTTCATGCTGAGCAGCAGGAGTTGTAGCTCCCATCTCCTCATAATTTGGTAGCAGAGATGTACTAGTTCATATCTGGGCTCCTTTGGGAACCTATGGAAAGGGCCACGATGGCTTGGAAAGATTTTAAAATTCAGGCAAGGGAAGCTCTGAATACAACATGGGACTGATGGCTGATCCAAGGTGTTATTTTGAGCACTAGGTAGCTCTGGCCAGAACCAGTAATAAGGTGATAGTTTATCCCAGTCAGTAGTGTTCATGATAGTCTCAACTTGGGAAACCTTAAAAATATCTGAGCCCTACTCTCAAACATTCTTATTTAATTGGTGTGGAGTATGGCTTAGACATTGGGATGTAAGAACTTTTAATATACAGTATTATTTTATATTTAATCCTTACAACAAGCTATGAGATAAGTACAATTTACAAATGTAGAAATTGAGACCCTGAGAGGTTAACTACCTTGCTGGAGGTCATACAGCTATAGGAATCAATTCAAACCCAAGTATTTTGGCTCATTAATCCATGCTCTTAACCACTAGCTTGTTTAGCCTTTTTATGATATGAGTATCTTTTATAGTTAAAATGAAATAACAGAAAAAAGAAAACATTCCTTGACCTTATGTCCTTCTGAGGCCCAATTTCTCTGCCCCAATTTTTTTTTTTTTGGCAGCTGACCATTAAAGGGATCTAAATCCTTGACCTTGGTGTCATCAGCACCATGCTCTAACCAACTGAGCTAACTGGCCAGCTCCTTCTTTGCCCACCTTTATAATAAAACCCTTCACAAGAATTGTCTGTACAACCTGTCTCTACTTTCTGTCTTCTCACTCTCTTAAATGCAATCCAATCGCATTTTATAAGCTTGAAAAATCTTACAAAGGCTTCTTAGTTCTCCGTATGCATCTTAGCTACTTTCAACATAGTTATCTACCATTCTTCCTTTGTATGCCTGCTCTGCTGCAGCCTCCTTACTATTCCTTGAACATGGGAAATATGCCAAATATGCTTTAGGACCTTTATACTTTGTTTCTTATGTGGAATGCTCTCACTAAATAACCCCAGGGCTGGTTTCCTCATTTAATTTATATTTACGCTCAAATGTTACCTCATTAGAGAGGTCTTCCTAACATATATTTATTTGTTCATTTATCTATTGCCTCTCTTAAAATGAATGAATGAGAGGCATTGATTTCAGACCACACTCAAACTAGAGACAGATATCTATGTACTTCAAGGAGCATTAAGGACTGAAACAGAGGGGCCGGCCCGGTGGCACACTGCTACAGTGCACCGCTTGGGAGCGTGGTGGCGCTCCCGCCGAGGGTTCGGATCCCACATACAGACCGGTTCTCGCTCACTGGCTGAGCGAGTTGTGGGAGCAACGCCGAGGGTTACGATCCCATTGCCGGTCCCGGTCCGGTACGGGCGCGACACTGAGGGTTGCGATCCGTTGCCGGACACGAAAAAAGACAAAAAAAGGAAAAAAAAAAAAAGACTGAAACAGAACTTGAGTAAGTTAAGGGGACAGATCAGTTATTAATTCATACTGTTTTGGAAAAAAAATTTATGGGATATACTCTTTTTTTCCCCAAAAGTTCATTTCTACTCACACATATGTATTGTGTACAGTGTCTAAAAATGTGGGAGAAAATATTGAAAGGACTAGCAGGAAATATAATCCAATAGTTCTACAACCAAGAACAACAACCATCAGTTCTGCCACCAGGAAAAGGGACTATTTACTGATTTTTAGAATTTCATTCTTATGTGTTATGGACTTTTCACAATGAATGCTCTAAAATTAGAAAGGTTTTAGAAATTAATTTTCAGCTCTGCCTCTAAAACAAGACTGTGACCACTTTTGTTAGAACACCTAAACTAGAAAGAAGTACAGTTTTAAAACATGCAATAGACTATGAGTATACATGCACATATACATACATACATGTACGTACATACAAGTATATACCTATATATGCACTGATAAGCTAGACCTCGCAATTGCCATCATCGCAGTTCTGAAGTGGATAGTGAGACATTTAGGATATTATTGCATATTTCTTCTATCTGTTTTATTGGTGTGTTTATCACACTAAAACAAAAAATGTTAATTTACTTGGCTGACTTCCTCCTAGACTAAAAGGTCCTTAAGGAAAAGGGCCATGTTTTCTTTGACTTTATGTATTGCCAGCCAATACTTTGCCTTCTGTAATAGGTGAATAGTATTTGTTGAATGAATACATTCATTTCAACAGATAATGAGCAATATTCATTCTTTTAGATTTGTGTATTATATTAGTAGGGAGTTTGGTTTATAGGAGTGCTTATAGAAACTAAGGCTTATTGAATATTTAATACACGCCAAGCACTAATGCTACCTCACTTAGTCTTTACAGTTACAGGGTGTTAGTAAACCCCCTTTTTTAATAGATAAAACAGACTCAGAGAAACCAGCATAAGTTGCTAATTATGTAGTGATAGATTGAATAAGGTCTATCTGACACCAAAAACACATGCCCTTTCCACTACTGAAATATCTGCAGTGTTTTTAGACGGTAAGACGAGCCCGTGGCACACTCGGGAGAGTGCGGCGCTGGGAGTGCAGCAGCGCTCCTGCCGCGGGTTCGGATCCTATATAGGGATGACCAGTGCACTCACAGTGCTCACTGGCTGAGCGTGGTGCGGCTGGTCTCAAAAAGGACAAAAAA